AGCAGGTCGAGGCTGCGGTGGCCAGGAGCAGCCACTGCACTCCAGTCTGGGTGACAAAGTGAGACTCCAACTCAAAAAAAAAAAGATTTGTTGGATGAGCTGGGTGCGGTGGCTCACTGGCTCACTCCTGTAATCCCAGCACTTTGGGAGGCGGAGGCGAGAGGGTTGTCTGAGCCCAGGGATTCGAGACCAGCCTGGGCAACTTAGCGAGATCTCGTCTCTAAAATAAATAAAAGAATTAGCTGGACATGGAAGGCTGAGGCAGAAGGATCCCCTGAGCCCAGCACGTCGAGGCTGCAGTGGCCCTGAGCCTGCCACTACACTCCAGCTTGGGCGACAGAGTGGGACCCAGACTAAAAAAAAAAAAAGATTTGCTGGATGAATGAATTCAGCAGACTCGTGACTGTCCAGAAATCCCTCTCCCATCTGTCCCAGTACCCTCAGTTCCATCCATCCCTAAGAAGTGCTACGATTAGCCGGGCTCGGTGGCTCAGCCTGTGATCCCATGCTTTGGGAGGCAGAGGTGAGTGGATTGCCTGAGCTCGCGGGTTCGAGACCTGCCTGGGCAACTTGGCAAGACCTCATCTCCACAATAAAAATCAAAAATTAGCCGAGCGTGGTAGCACACGCCTATAGTTCCAGCTACTTGGAAGGCTGAGGCGAAAGGATCGCCGGAGCCCAGCAGGTCGAGGCTGCGACGGCCGGGATTGGCCACTGCACTCCAGTCTGGGCTATGGAGTGAGACTCCAACTCAAAAAAAAAAAAAAAAGAAGTGCTACGATTAAGCTTCTGATATCCCCATCGCTACCCACTGCCCTCCCCATCCCAGGATCAGTTAATGACCAAAACCACCAAGCCTGCCAGGGATTGGTCACCCCATCTTACAGAGGAGAAAATTGAGACTAAGCATGGCCCAGATCTGACTACACCATTGCAGGCTGCCTGCACAGCTTGTTGCCTTTTGAAAATACAGGTGGCTGGGCATGGTGGCTCATACCTTTATTTATTTTTTATTTTTTATTTTTTTGAGTTGGAGTTTCACTCTGTTGCCCAGACTGGAATTCACTGGCCGCTCCCGGCCACCGCAGCCTCGACCTGCTGGGCTCCGGCGATCCTTCCGCCTCAGCCTTCCAAGTAGCCGGAATTACAGGCATGCGCTACCACGCCCGGCTGATTTTTTGATTTATTGTAGAGATGAGGTCTCGCTGCCCAGGCGGGTCTCGAACCCGCAGGCTCAGGCAATCCACTCACCTCAGCCTCCCACAGGCGGGGGATTACAGGCTGAGCCACCGAGCCTGGCTAGGCTCATACCTTTAATCCAGCACTTTGGGAGATCGAGGCAGGAGGATTGCTTGAGGCCAGGAGTTTGAGACCAGCCTGGGCAACATAGCGAGATCTCATCTCTACAAAAAAATCCAAGAATAAGCTGGATGTGATGGTGCATGCCTATAGTCCCAGCTATTTGGGAGACTGAGGTGGAAGGATCACCTGAGTCCAGGAGGTCAAGGCTGAGTGAGTCATGATCATACCACTGCACTGCAGCCTGGGCAACAGAGTGAGACCCCAAGTCAAAAAACAAGCAAGAGCCGGGCTCGGTGGCTCAGCCTGTAATCCCGTGCCTTTGGAAGGCTGAGGTGAGTGGATTGCCTGAGCCCGCGGGTTCGAGACCCGCCTGGGCAGCGAGACCTCATCTCTATAATAAATAAAAAAATCAGC